AATGGCCTGCAATATTGTAGAGTATTAAACTGGTTTGTGGAGGTTTAATCGTATATCTAGTGAAATGTGGCTGAAATTTGTTCTCAATTTTGTCTAGGTCCCGATTATATCAATGAAATTTTCTAAAGATATTAGTGGGTATATCACCCACTTTACTGCTAGATAGCCGTACAAAACAGAAGATTAAGAAAAGTTTTTATTTATATACTAAGACTAAAATTAGGTAAAAGCGCCAAATCACCTACTTTCACATAAAAAATTATGGTAGACAAAACCACTCGCTGCATTCACCGCTATATGTCGCTCCCTTTCCCACTAGGTGGTAAACACAAGTGATAATCGGAGCGCCATACGGCCGCGAATGCAGCGAGTGCTCATCTCGACTATAGTGACCGATTCGATGTGATTGAAATTATGACTGTAATAGTACATCAGGTGAGATTGCGGACAAATGCCTAACTATATTTTATAAAAAAAATACACCACCAACTCGGAATACGTCTCCTGAAATCTGAACAGCGAGCCTTTTGCTGAAAATACCGTTAGATAGATAGATTCTTTATTAGGTCGAAAGGTAGGTTATCTAGGTGCACCATATCTGGACGTAACTTATCCCCTAAAACGGGACGTGAGAAACTGCTGTTTCCAAGAGATTGCGCACCTACTATCTCCTCCAAACTGTTTATATAACATTGTATTTCACCGGCACCGATAGGGCTGCACAAAACTGTTTATAAGGCACAGACAGGGCTGTACAAAGCAACTTTCCGGGAATTGTGAGTCACGTACGATCCAAATATCGCAGAAATTCGTGATACAATTATAAGGGAACTCCACCAAAAGCGTCATTGTGTCGCTTTTGTACAATAAACAACCGAAATGTGAATGTGAAACGGTATGCCAAGTTCCGTCTAATAATAAGCGAAATCTTTTGTTGAAAATAATAAACATTCCTAATTTCTACATATTAAGATGAAACAAGAATAAGCAGAACACAAGTTTTTTCTCTTTATCGGATGAGGCATAGAGTTTATTAACGATCCATTGAACCAGAACGTTCATCTGAACCACAAGTAGGCACGATGTTTAGATTCCGAGTTATACTTAATACTTGTGCTCGATTATTTGTTCGTAAGACCATTGTTTTATGCCTAGTAATTTATCAAAATCTAGTAGACAATGTCTAAGCTATAAAAGCTCCACAAAAAGTTTTACAAGCTGGGTGTTTTTGTGAACTTAGCACTACCACTGTCGTACACACCGCAGCAAATGTGCGGTAGATATACATCGAGCGTACTTACACAAAGCGCGGCATCCCCCGCAGTGACATATGTGCCACCACTAAGAAAAATGTAACAGGCATCTGAGAAATTTCAATTGTAACCTTTTGTGAGCCACTTCCCCCGGCTGGCACCTTGGCAATTTGCGAACATGTGCCAATGAGCCCCGACGGTTGTGTAGTACGAGTCCCTGTAGGGTAGTGATTGTGAGGATGGTAGTTTTTTTGCTGGATGGTGGAGAGTGTGATGCTCATGAGTAATTGGCTCGTGTGTCAAAGTAGTTTTTGCAGTCTATTTTTCCGTTTCATAACATTGACTAACAGCTTCTTCAAACATTCAAATTCAGTCTAAGAACAAATATTTCGGTAGCCGGTACACAGATTTGTCATTATGCGCTTTTCAGTAGCAAATTGAAAAAGAACCGTATCTTTAATGATTGATGAAATAATGGACCGTGTAAGAAAACGATTCCGGAAATCCGGTGGTGTCTACGCGAGCCAATTTACATCAGATCAATACCATTGCATAATTTCGCGAGCAACGATTAACCTGCGGTAGCCCAGTTGGTAGAGACGTCGCTTTTACTTATGGCGAAAGCAGCAGATTAAAATTTTTACTTGCTGTAGAATAATTGCATGTTTTCTATTAAAAATATCAATACTTTATATACTATACTGACCTAGATTTGATTGTACTAGAAGACTAGCCCTGAAGGGTGCATTTTAATAAAGTTTAATTTTCTTCTGCGCTTATTTTCTCTTGAAGCTAAATACGCAACCCGGTGGTCCTAGATATAATCGGCATACCTCCGCTGTTGACTCTCCTGATTAAATTCTTCAAGACGCACCGCTGCAGCATCCCAGCATCTCACGTATTTGTCCGATTCACCAAGGTTTACCGAAACAAAAACTGAAAAATCGGTAGGGGAACACGAAAAACAACGGTATAATTTGTAAACAGGTAGTCTGAGTCGGAGGTTTAAATTCTGTTTGCCTGAAAAATCGGTAGGGGACCACGCAAAATATCGGTATAATTTGGTAACAGTTAGTTGCAGGATTAAACTCTGCCTGCGGTAGAACACTTAAAGGGTTTTCTATAAATGATCGATATCGAGTACCTAGTTATATTTAGTATTTTTGCTAATTTGTGCTAGATAAACGATGGCCCTGAAATGTACATTTTACTAAAGTTCAACTTTCTTCTGCGCTTATTTTCTCATGAAGCTAAATACGCAACCCGGTGGTCCTAGATATAATCGGCATACCTCCGCTGTTGACTCTCCTGATTAAATTCTTCAAGACGCACCGCTGCAGCATCTCACGTATTTGTCCGATTCACTTTATCTCCAAGTTTTAGCGAAACAAAAACTGAAAAATCGGTATAGGAACAGGCAAAACATCGATATAATTCGGAAAAAGGTATAGTTGGCGTCGGAGATTTAAATTCAGCTTGCCTGAAAAATCGGTAGAAGGAGCACTCAAAACATCGGTATAATTCGGAAACAAGTAGTTGCATCCTGCAACTAAACTCTGCCTGCATTAGAAAACTTAGATACAAGTTTTTCTAATATTGATCGATATTAGTATTTTTGTTATGGTTAATTTAGCGCTCTTTTTGCAATACTTCATTTAACTAAAGTTTGCAATTTAATATTATATAATTTTCGTATTTTTTTCATGAAGCTAAATACGCAACCCGGTGGTCCTAGATATAATCGGCATACCTCCGCTGTTGACTCTCCTGATTAAATTCTTCAAGACGCACCGCTGCAGCATCGCAGCATCTCACGTATTTGTCCGATTCACTTTATCTCCAAGTTTTAGCGAAACAAAAACTGGAAAATCGGTAGGTGAACAAGAAAAAAATTAGACGGTACTAACGACAGAATTTTTTATTTTGAAAGATCTCTAGATAAGTAATTAGACTGATGAAAATACCACAAAAAACATAAAAAAGTACAGGGTGCCAGCCCTCCGAATATTAATAGGGGTGCATTCAGACCATGAAACTAAACAACTTATAGCAAGAAAATATTTCAAGCAAAAATGCGTCTGTCAGTATTCGGAGAGGTGTCCCTCAGACTTTGATAAAATTAATAATTTGATAATTATTATTCATCAAATAAGTAGATGACACGGACGGTAGATCTACCGATTGTTCTGTATTTTCGGTAACACTCCACTCTTATTTTTATCACGACATACTTTTCACAATAAAACTGTATTGCACTTGAGACCTCTCCAGCCGTGTGAGTTTTCTCTGCTGGCGTTCTTAGAGAATGCCTCTTGTCTTGAACATTGTTGATATTTTCTCTTAGAAGCATGATTGCTATCGCTTTTTAGTTTGGAAGTGAGTAAAACATTGTGTTACTTGAAGGATACTTACCTTTTGAATCGTTGTTTTTTCGACTCGGTGTTCCACTAGGGGTAAAGACACGATGTCGTATGTAACTACCTAGGTATATTATTCGTAAGCTATTCGTAGGTATTTTTATGAAGCCTGTTCTGTGCTAACTGCTGGGTAAAGGCCTCCCCTCTTTTACACCACTCTCCTCGGTCTCAGATTATTAGTTACCTATTATTTAGCTGCCTTAATATAAATGGATGAATAATGAGGAAGCAAAAGAGGTGTCTCAGGATCCTAGCAATTGGAAGTATTTAATCCCTGCCTACCTCCCAGGAAAAAGGCCTGATTTTATTATATATGCCCTTACATTTTAATCGGGCATCGGGTCTCGTGTGCAACAATGAGCACTTACTACCGGTACCGAGATGGCATCACCTTACCGAGCAATTCGTGAAATATAAATCACAGGATGGCATAATTTCAATGGACCGGGCGCCGACTGAGCTTCAGGCCCGAATGTGCATAGGGCTGCCACACGTCTGGATTAAGTTTAGTGTAGTGATCGTTTTTCAATAATATAGCAAAAAAAAAGTAATAGGCAAGCGCTAAAACCAGGAAAATAGTGATATCGAATCGGTTTTTTCTGAGCTTAATAAAGCTTAACCGATTTATATCGAAAACCAGGGAAATAGTGTTATCGAATCGGTTCTTTTTTCCGAACTTATTGAAGCTGAACCTAAAGCTGTACTGATTTATATTGTCGACTTGGAGTCCCATCCCACACGCACGACAGAAAAAGAAGGACGGATCTGAAACTGAAAATTTCTTGGTAAAACATTTTTTTTGTGTGGGTGTTGTGAGAGGCCAGTGTGCATCGGTTTACTCCTGACCTTTAAGAGCAGAAAAAACATTAAGAAATAAGCTGTCCTGAAGTGTCGTCTTTCTTTGTATGTATCTCTACATAATTACATACATACATACATACATCACGCCTTTATCCCTTGCGGGGTAGGCAGAGCGTCAACGACCGTAAAAGTACGGTCGTTGTCGCCACGTCTGACACATATTTGAGGGCCGTTTTAGCTATTGTCGTGTATCTCTATAGTGACAGGTTGTCAGCCTGTCGCCTAAAATTGCAATACACATGATACCCTCGAGTCCTTTAGTCGCTTCTTACGACACCCACAGGAAAGAAATGGGGTGATGCTTTTCTAAGCCGGCATCACACGGCCATGTATCTCTCGTGTGCAATAAATGGTAAAGAATAAGAACACAGAAACACCAGTAAAGTCAGAACATAAATTATAAAATTGAGTGTAAGCAGCCTTAATAAACTTGGCTAGTAAATGAAAATAAGAAATAGAAAAAATGTAATACGTCGACCGGGAATCGAACCCGGGCCGCATGGGTAAACGCCCCACCGCTCTGCCACTGAGCTTTCGATGCACTATGCGATGACTGAGATGTCGCTGGATCGTCGCTTGGAGACGAGCATCAAGAGATGGAAAATTTGGCATTCATCAACCGGTGCATCGATAGCTCAGTGGCAGAGCGGTGGGGCGTTTACCCATGCGGCCCGAGTTCGATTCCCGGTCGATGTATGAAATTTTTTCTATTTCTTATTTTCACTTGTGAGTGCATTACAATCCCAATAGATTGGCTAGTAAAATCTACCATTGTCAATCAGTGGCAACCCTATGCACGCACAGATAAGAAAACCGCCGCGCCCTTTCCGCGTACGAATTGTAAAAACTCGGTAGCGATGCCTAAGCCCGTAAACGGACCACCATGTAAATTATCTCTGGGACCTACCAAAAGGTGTATTTTTGATTCAGTAGTAATTTTGCGCATGAAAATCAGTCAACATCAAATAATTTTCCCCTGCTTTTACGTATTTTTGAGACTGTATTGTAGGTATGGCTATAATTAAATTTTCTGTTTCTTTATGCACTATTGACTTTTCTTTTCTAGCTCCATCACTAACGAATTCATTTATTTAAAGAATCGGGACATAATGTAGTAAAAAAAAGTTTGTTAAACAATATGGCTTATCTACTATTGTTATTTTGATTTTTGCTGAACAGGTGTTCTGTCTTACGGTAAAATTTGAATAAATTGGTCAAATCATGCTAAAATCATCAAAGCGAGCCAAGCCGAGCATGAACCGAGAACCCACCGAATCAAAAATACGTGTCCAGTTTGAATTATCGCCTCACACCGCAATAAAACTCCAAGAAACTTTATCAGTTAAGCAGAAACATGCTGCCATATTTCATTAGCCGAACGTTCCGGTGTAAAAATATAATATTTAATCTCTAAAGAGTTTGTATTGTGGTCCTTGTACATTTGATATTTATTGCAGTTGCACAAAAGTGAATCACTGCATCGAATGCGTTCAATCGCATAATAAGGATGTGACAACTAGATCTTACTTTGCATTTAGATAGGTACTAAAGACCGATAAACGTACGATATGATTTTATATTGATCGATCTCCATAATCGTGAGTGTCAATACTGAACAGTATACAAAGTGTCCCCTCTTTAAGTGTTATAAAAAAAATCTAGATTCTAGACCTTTGGTACCTATCTTGTAAAAACATAGTAGATCTTTTTCATGGACCACACTGATGTAATTTTTTTACTGATCAGGAACATACAATTTTTTTAACGGCCAACCCCTTAGCTATTTATAACAATTTAAACTAGAAATCTGCAATTTAATACCATCATGAGTTATGTTCATCACCCTAAAAAAGTTTTATTAAATCCAACAATAGTATAATCACGAATATTAACTTCCCAAAAAGCGTAGAATTCATACAAGATTCTATTCATCGAGGGGCACCCAGTCTACGTACGACCCGACGATCGTGTGCATTGTGATATTAACTCTCTATTAAATATTTTCCGCATAGCTGCGGGCTAATCCGACCCACAATGGGGTAATAAAAATTCCTATATAAAAAATGTTATCGCAATGAGTCGAGATATGGAGTGAGGGGTTCTGTATGAAATTCCTTAGTATTTCTTCATTTTTGTAAACAACTTTCGCCGAGGAACATTTTTTATCGTATTTAAATAATATATTTAACATATATCTGGAAATAGTACATCTAATTGGCTTTGTATGTCCCATATTTCTATGAAAAAGTTACTTGGAATCATGAGGACAAACCGTGGTTCTAGGAATCTGCACCTTTAGCAGACAAATACAGGTGTGTCTGTCTGCAAGGGGTGCACTCATTGTATATTAATAAATGTCATAAGAAACATACAGTAACTGATGATGTTTCTTAGATAAACAATGAAAAAATAAAAATATAGATGCTCTAGGAGCTAGGACGTGAAAATAACCAAAAAGCTATGTCCGATTTCGTAGTAAAAACCACTACCTACACTTTTACAACTTTGTTACGGAACCCTAAAACAAACACAATTGAAATCCTGTTCAAGCCGGATCACGTGTCAATCAAGCTTCGTTTCACGTATGAAATAGTAAAAAAAACACTATACAGGGTGTTATTCTATTTAGCGATGTGTTATTCATTGGCCTTCTCCCTGCTAGAATACAGTGTAGAATGCCCTCAGAATACACTCCCCTTTTGGTTATCCACAATGATGGGTTCCATATTGTTGTGGAGCTAATAATATGTTCGTCTGTAGGTTTGTTCGTTTTTGAAAAAACTTGTGATTATTTAGCAAATAATATAAACCAGCTTCAGAGTAGAATAGCCTGTAGGTATCATGAATACTACTGAACCGAATTTGGACAAATCTTTACCTTTCAGAATGAGCAAATAATAATACGGCAAGTCAAACTTACATAGTACACTTTCATATTTTGCACACATGCTCAGAAAATACTATGCATGCAAGTGTGATAGTTTCCTCGTTTGTCAGCAATTCAATGGTGTTCTACGTAAAGCTCTATAATTAACCTTCTTTTTCAAGTCGGTTTAATACGTTGGTTGTTGCACGCAAAGTTTTGTATTTCCTCTAAAGCTTCTAGGACATAATTTACTTGGCTGCAGTGTTATTATTTATAATGAAATAATGCAAAATTCTAAACAAGCTGAATAGAGAATTTTCTATGGTTTTCCGTTACAGAGGCAACTGCAAACAATATCCTTAGCTATGGAGATATACATTTATGTGGATGCATTTTTATACCCTAACGCTCAAAAGACAAAAAGCTATAGGTACATTAGCAAAAAGCGATGGCCTACAGACAAATTATGGCTTATGCAATATTCTGCAAAAAAGTCTAAATTCCTTAATACCGTCATTATTCTATTGTAAAGCCTTTTTAACCAGGAAGGACTAAACAAGCCCAATAAACCTTCTATGGCCGTACAGTTAGGGTAGAATCCCTTATACGACCTTGTCTGCACCACCCGATTTGCCATTCATTGCAGTTTTTCTTGAGTACATTGCTACAACTCAAATAGGTAACCAGCAATGTAAACGAAATCAGGCACTGCTGACTGCATAGTGCAAGAAAAAAAGCACTGCTTTTTGTATTTTTCCATCTCTTTAGTGGTGGTTTGCCAGCTCCCAGTTGTAGGGCGCAGGTATTGTGTTACCTTCGCTTCATAGGGATGTTCCGACTAGTCGGGCCATTATTGCATTCAATGACTAACTGACTAGTCGGCTGAATCAATAGCCGACTATTCGGCTGTTATTACAACACTGAAATTTGAAACTCAAAAAAATAGTTACCAAAACTTTGTTAATTTATAAAGAAAAGTAGGTGCTATATGGTGCTATTAATAAAATAACTCTATAGGTATACGCGGACCGATAACTCGCAATCGTCAACGAAGATATGTATTATTCTAACGACTAACCTTGTTGATTTAAGTCGAGGCTTATAGAGTCTCGACGTTTCTACGCTATCGTGCGCGAGCGACCTGTCGGACTCCCAAAGAAGATGCACATATTGCATCGAAACGTCGAGACTCTATAAGCCTCGACTTAAATTAACAAGGTTAGTCGTTAGAATAATAAATATGAGTTATCCTTGTTCATTTAATAATTTAACGAAGATATGGTTAGATCAGCCGACTTGTCGGCCATTTTGTAGTCGGAGATTAGTCGGTAGTCTGCTAGTCCAAAACCATAGCGGGTGCATCTCTACCGCTCCACGCATTCTTTGAAACATGAGCCGCGGATGGGATTCTTTTGTTGTGACTCGATTTGAATATTGCTTTAATATGATGCCCTCTCGAATAATGCACGGTATTGTACAAAACATTACCCATTCCTCTCCTATTCTCGCCGACATTAAAACCCTTTTAAGCGTTGTGGTGATTGCGCTGTGAAACTGCGTTCTGCAATAATTCTCAGCATTGTCCTTTGTAAAAGTCTTGTTCAACAATACCCATAATATTAAGTATCTCCAAAATTTACGCGTGATGCATTTTCAGAATTCACAAATACCTACTATACGCCTGATTGTGTAGCGTCTGTAATTTTTTTGCATAAATGGATGAAGCGATGTATTGTTTTGTCGAAACAAATAGAAAATCACCCAAAACTGAACTGGACGGGAATCGAACTCACAACACAGGACAACGATTGCAAAACCAGTACCAACTGCGTTATACGGACCATCAAAAGCATGTAATTCACAGCATTGTCACGAGTTGTCCTTTCCCATGTAAAGCAGTTTTACTCTTGTACAGCAAGATTGTAAAACAATGCCCATAAAGTATCCCCAAAATCCACGATCGCGAGGCGTGATACATTTGCAGGATTCATAAATTCCAGCCACAAAGGAGTTGGGAAACCGTTTAAGGTGGATATGCAGTGACCGCATTGCATTTAGTGATATGGTAATGTGATTGTACGCGATAAATTAAACAGTGAAATCCTCCTTCACGCAGCGGGGATCCGACGCCCGCGCAGCCCTCGTGCCAAGGTGAAACACCTCCAAAAGAAAACATATTTTGCGCCAAAATTAAACTTTATTAAACCCCAGTTACCATACCTCATACCCGCGTGGGATGACACCAAGACACCGAGGAATAAGCACGCGTTTTGTGTATTGAAAATTATTGCGTCCATGGAAATATAAAACGTCCACCTCCGTAGCGACACAGACTTCGTGTCCTGTCGACTCCTTTAATTGGCCACGAGCATTGTTCTAGTGCTTCCTTTTATGAAGCGAAGCGATTGTCACCGTTCTCTTGGCATTCCTCACTCGCTTACTCACCGTAGTAACACTACTGTGTCAAACAAATTACGAACATTAGACATTCGCCGAAGTGAAACGTGGTGTCGACAAACTTTTTATTGGATGGCTCCCGTCGACGGGCGACGCTCCTGACCTCTCTAAATTGGGTGAGAAATGCTCCGGTTTGACGCCAGTTTTGCATATCGCGACGATAAATCTACAGAAGCTCTTCTCAGCTGCCGTCGCCGAGTCCTTCAAACGGCGCTCCA